AAAAAAAAAAACCAAAAATCCTTTACAAAGTTAAAAGAAAAAACGCCAAGCCCAGACGGTCTGAAGAAAACTTAGTCCAAAAATCTTTCAGAAAAGAAGGAGAAAGTACCGAGAAGGAAAAAACAGAGATGGGGGAAAGAAAAAGGGAGGTTCCCTTCGCTTTATTCCCCGTGCCTTTTGCCAGCCGCGCAGCCCTGCTCCACTACCCGCACTCCACACCCAGCCGTGCCCGATGTCATCCGTCCGCTCTATATAGCGCCACGGTCGCCGGTCCGCCCCGCGCCATGAATAACGCGCGGCGCGGCGCTGCGCAGCGCGGCGCGGCAAGGGAGCGCCGGCCCTCGCCGGATCCAGGGTTCGGTCACGCAAGGCTGTGAGGGCGGTGCGGTGTGGGGGCAGTGGGCGGGGGACCCGGCGCTGCCGGGGGTTCACGGGCACTTCCTAGAAATCAGCTGTGAGTGGTACAACTCTGGTGAGAGGGCCACGTCGTGTGCCTCTCGTTTCAGGAAAAAGTGCCCTCTCTTTGCGTGTGCGCGTCCGCGTGTCCCTGTGTGTTTCCTTGGCACCAAAAGAGGCGAGCCAAGCTCGCGGAGAGTGCCCTTTTTTGGACTCCTGGCTGCAATCCTGTCCACTTTGGGTTTGAGAGCCTCGGTACTGGAAAGGCTGCGCAAGTGCTCGCGCTCGCACACGCACACACCCGCCCGCCCGCAGGGTCGGAGCTTATCTTGCGACCTGACGGCTGCGTTTCCAAGGAAGACTGGGGGGAAATGTATGTGCATGCCCACACCCATACACTCATGCACCCCACCATGTTTGCCCAGATTCTGCTTTCTGGCCCAACTTCTTGCCCCATCTTCGTGGATGTGCCTCCCCTGTCTTTATAAAGTGTTCTCTGAGCTCTTAAAACTTTTCCTTCCATCTACAAGAAAACTGTTTCTGTTGCAATGTCCTCACAAATATTGAATATATATATATATATATATATATATATATATATATAAACAATCATTTCTCCCAAAACCTCAGCATCGAAGTTCTATGAGGATTTTGCACAGTGCATATATTTGTGTTCAGGCCACTGCAAATTCTGTTCCCATTTTGCTAGGCATATTTTGCTCCTCCTGTTATCTTGGCTTAACTTGGGCTGAGAAAACCTGAATTGGCAATGCCAAAATTTGTGACCATTCTTTCTGAAGCTCTATTGCACTTTCTTGAGGAAGAGGATGATGAGGTGTATAAATAGACAAAAATATGTGTCGTCAGAGAAGCTTGCTCCTCATGACATATAAAATCTGTAATGGTCACAGATACCGGCTTATACAGATATGTGGCAATGACAAGAGCTACTGTTCTACTCTTAGTCCCTTCATCATTAACACTGGAGCTCATCTTCCAGTAATTCATCAGCTGTTCAAATGTGTCAAAATTCAAGTGGAAGAGAGAAGTATATATGTTATTACATAAGGTACTGGCCATGATRCTATTAATCTTGAACACTGAGCTAATTTTAGATATTTAGAACCATCTATTCAGTTTTCTTGATTCTTCTTTCAGTACTTGTACCTTTCCAATAGCGTCTTGGAAGGAGCATCATACATAGCAGGACAAAAAAAATATTTTTGAATAATATGTTGTAAGAGGAGACACTTTTCCTCGGGAAATTAAGGATGCTTTATAAGACAGATCAGGCTTGCTTAACTGCTCGATAYGGTTGACTACTAAGGCCTTTCGCGCTTTTGTCCTCGTGCGCATTTTGTTAATTGACCAAAAGAGGTCGCAGGTTGTCCAGGATTGAATTACAGACCCACTATCTTCACGAGCCCATCTACAGAGGGGGATCAAGCCCAAAATTTTGCATGTTTGGTTTCACGGTGGGTTTTTGTTGGTTTTTGTTGAGGCTTGTTTCAGATTGGTTTTCTTTTGCTTCGTTTTGTTGGGGTTTTTTTGTGGGTTTTTTGCCAGACTATTGCAGGAACTTTTTAAAAAATGCTGGTTTTAATAAGCGTTTGTAGATGATGAAGTCCAAAAATCCTAGGGATTGTCTGGCAGCATATATCAGATTAGGTGTAGCAGAAAGAGGAGGCCTTCCTCTTTTCAAACTGTATGTATACAGGTATCTTTGCAATTGGGGTGCACTTTTACAGCATGCTGCTTTCAAAACTGAAACAAAAATGCATAGGAAATGCTAAGAGAAGAAAAATGGGGCAAAGGAAATTAGAGGATGGAAATAATGAGAGAACAACCTTTTCCTTCTCAACAATTGTACACCTCTCACACACTAATACCAGTTCAACTTATATTTCAGACTGTGGCAAGAGCATTTTCATCAAGCTGAATTTTGTTTCTCACCATCAGAAAGACTTGTTTTCCCCTTCTTTAATATTACACAAACTGTGGTGCACTATTTTGAAGTCCTGTTAATACAAGGAGATATCTACAATGTCACAAAATAGAAGTAATCAGCCTCTTTTTTAATACACAACTGTTGAACTTACTATATGTTTCTAAATACCATTAAGATTAATGCAGCATCAATGTACTTTGAGCAAAAGAACTGTAAATGAAAAATTAACACTGACAACAATGTAGCTGGATCACCTTTGCAAGTAGAAAACCAGTGATGTGTCAAAGATCAGGTTGGTCTAACAGCTTTTACTGAAAACATAGCTGTTTGCACTGTCCTAACCAATGGGCACCACAATAAAATACAGTTATATGAATGACAGAATTTGATTCAGAGCTGTACTGGCCATCACAAGATGGATAGCAATGCATCTGGAAAGCCAAATTAGAAATTTATAAAGATAAAACCCAGAACTATAAACTTCAACATGCATCTATAGATAACAGCTGAATTACACTCACATCCCAACCTTTAGTATTATTGATGGAACTGTTCTACTAGTACAAGACCAAGTGCTAAGTATGCAGAGTAGCAATGTTTATAAAGCTGCACCAAATCTGAATTTTCACATTTACATTTGCTGTTTATTCCAGAGGTTTTGCTTCTGTTTTTCCTGTTTATTCAGTTCTACTAGGATGAGAGGCAGAGGCAAAAGTAATGTACTGAATCTCTACAATCAGTTCTAAACAATAGAAAGCCAAAGAGAAACAATTGAGAAGGCACCATGCTTCAGAGAATCCCATGTCCTCCCATATTATGGAAGCACAAAAAGAATGCATCTTATWTCTCCTTCCACTTCATCCTCCCAACTCCTTCATATTCACCAGTGCTCTCTTCTCTGCTGCCTTAGCTGAATTTATACTTTCTGGTATGTTTTTGTGGTGGCTGTGTTTGCTACAGAGGCAAGGCATGGGAAGGAGAGTTGTGGCTGAAGTAGCTCTACTTTCAGCTTCATAGTCACTCTATGGAACAATCCCAATGTTTTAGTGCAAATCTTTGTAATACATACATGTGGTTATGGTACCCAAACTTTAAATATCAAGAATTTGAGCTTCCCTTACAATGCCATTTTAAAACTCGTGTTACTTCACATCTCTTTACAGACAAAAAAAAAAAAAAAAAAAAAAACCAAAAAAAAAAAAAAAAAAAAAAAAAAAAAAAAAAAAAAAAAAAAAAAAAAAAAAAAAAAAAAAAACAAAAAAAAAAAAAAAAAAAAAAAAAAAAAAAACAAAAAAAAATACCCAAAAATGCAAAAGAAAAAAACAAAACACCAAAACCCCAAAACAACAACAAAAAACCCCACAA